TCGGGCCGCTCATGTGCAGTATAGTAGATCTTAGCGGCTCGGATCGCAAAAGTGACAGTGTCTAGGACCCGCATGCCTTGGATCTCTTGCCAGGTCTGCGGGGTTGCTTCTGCAGGCGCCTGACGCGAGGGGTCTTCCGCAGCGTCGGGCATATCGTCACTCGAAAGACTAATCCGCGGGGGAATCATCTCCGCCGGCGGTTCCTTTTGAGCATCGATCGATTCGATACTGTGTTCGGCTTTCTCTAATGCGTCCCGCAGATCCTTCCGCAGAGCCTTGAGTTTAGGTGGGGGCGGGATGTGATGCGTTTTGATGCTGTAAGTACTGACCGTGGGAGGAAGCATGACTTCAACATCCTCGTCATATACCTCCTCCCTAGGGTCTATACTTTCACTTTCGTCATCGGTGGGACTGGCACTGGTCGGACTGAGAGTCAAGTCATCGATAAACCGAGCGTTGGGGGTCAGGAGCAGTCGCGGCATATCCTCCGGCTTCTTTTTCTTCTTAAATTCCCTAGCCTGGGCACCTTTGCCATCCAGTAGACCGGTTCGTGCAAAGTAGTATTGCAAATGAGCGATGCTACCCAGGCTCATGACACTCTCCCGGTTTTTGGCGGACTCCGCAAACTCGACCCCCTGAGGGCGAATGTATCCTCGTCGCTTGGATGAGATGGAGACGGAAGACCTGGCATCGGCGGAAGTGGCGGAAGAAGTCGACAGAGAGGAGATGGTCGAAAAGGTACGATCTGGCGACGGACAGGAGGAGATAGCCGGCGTCGCTGGGATGGAGGGGGAGGGCGACGAGGCTCGGACAGGGGCCATGAATTCGGGCTCGACAGATTCATCCATATTGGGCGTATGCTAAGCTTTGGACGGTTCGTTTGATGGGGAGGGTTGGCACTTTCGCAGACGATAGATCTCAACGGTATGGCGTTGGAGGGCACAGATCCTGTTTGGGCGAGAGATGGGATATGCCTCACACTAAAGCAGGAAAGGACAGGTGGTCGTCGGGGGGGAACAGGAACCGTTTTGACGTGATTAAAAATAGGGATAGGGCCTCGGATGAGTGACTGGTGATGGTGATCGATCGGCCGACGAATTTAATTTGGGCGTGACTCGAAAGGGGGATTTTTACCACTAAAAGGGGAAGCGGGTCGATGGCCGCCAACTCGTCGGCCACCGGGAGTTGTCGTGGTACTTTCTAGATAAGTAGTCCTGCACTGTTATTTATAGCAGTGCCGATTGCTTTCTTTTTCTTGTTCTCTGTTCTGCTTCATTCAGCTCTCCCCCTGAGGTAGGGCTGTTCGCCTCATCACCCGAGACAGGTTCATGAACCCGAACATCCAGATATCCACCTCCTTTTAGGAAGTGCTGAGAGGGAATCATGCATAGCGTCCCAAGAAAGTCATCCGGCCGGGCGGCCCTTGTCCTGCCTGGGCTTAGCGCCTCCCCGGTGCCTGGAAGCCCCGCATCCAAACTTCGGCACGGTTTTCCATCCATCTTTGCGCTCAGGAACACCCGCTCCCATCACTACTGGTGGGATATATCACTCCTGATCATCTCGGAGCGGAAACTTGAAACAATATCCATGTTCATAATATCCATTATCATCATCATCATTGAGAGGAGATCTATTCGCTGGAGACAAAGGTGCTAATCTAGGAATTTTGAAACATCAACACCAGGTCGATAAGCCCGATGTTGCACTGACAATAATATGCTGACGCTCAAGCCGCATTGTAGACCCGGTCCAGCCGGTTGTCTGTGAAAGAAACCAAATATCTGGCATGTGAACTCAGATTACCTCCTCCCGCTCCCATCCAGTGGGTTTCAGGTCTGCAATCCCCTTGTTCGGATGCGCCTTTGTCGGGTCCTTGTACTTGGCGGCATATGGGTTGGGGTCGATCGCCTGGTTTAGGTTTCCCAGTGTGTGGTTCACCTCCCGGTGTTTGGCTTCATCTGCCCGAACATACAGCAGGAGATCCTTCATGCTGCGCTGACCCTCTGGCATCTTCCAATACTGCACAGCGATCTCGGGGGCCTCCGTCTTCTCCCATGCGGGAAGACTTCCAGCTTCAATCTCCTTGATTGCGCGAGTATATGTGATCACCGCTTCCTCTTCGAGGTATCCGACGAACCGGTGGCAGATGCGTGGCGACATGAGGTAAGACAGGAAGAATCCGTTAAAGAAAACTCCCTGTGCTCCAAGAACCATCAGGCGCATGAACCATCCGGGCTCTGCGAGCTTGAGGAAGGTCAGCAGATGCATGCGCTCGTTGTATGCTTCCTCCAGCAGTGTTTCAATCCTAGGCGTGGTCAGTGTCTGTCATCTTTGACAATCGCGGGATGTAGCATACCATCCATTATCTCTCTTCATGCGCCGCAAACTTCTCAGATGTCTCAGCATGCCCCCGACCATGCCTGGTACTCCAGCCACGCTTTCCAGGAAGATAAAGCGCGTAAGCCATTTCTGCTCTGTCATTTTGAACCTGGCCTCGTGTTCTCTGCCTGGGGGAGGATGCCGATATCCAGTCACAAGATCCATGCCCCATCTCAGCATCCGCACCGTTCCCAGCGCGACCCAGTCGGCCCAGTTCTTTGCATCTCGGTGCGCGATTGCGACTTGTTTCATCTGCTCTTCCGTATAGCTGGTATTGTCAGCTCCACTCAGCATGCATGCGCGAGATGAACCTACACAGGATGAACCCAAGCTGTCTCCACCTCCTTTACATGAGGAGCAGTCGGGGGAGGAAAGAATTCCTTAATCTGCGACTTGGGCGTGGTTGATATGAATCGCTTTCCAGCTGTCTGATGTCTGTTTGCCACCAACGACCCGCTACAGCGCAGACCGCTCATAGCAATGACACCGGAGTAATTTCGAGTAGCGATATGCATATATGACTTTGGAATGGCAGCCCGGATGGGCGCCGTGGCTGTTAACGAATTCATTGGGTATGAAAGCAGTCGGTATGCTCGTAGTAGAAGGTAATATGAAAAGCTCAGTAATGAAGTGTTCACTTATTGCTTGATATCCTTTGTGCTCTACTGATTACATGTACAACCCTATCCCTATTTATACCCTCCAGCCCCAGCAAAATTTTCAACATCCATTCATTGTCTCGTATCCAGGGTATGACTCTACAGGGCAGAAAGGGTCGGCAAAAGCCGGGAGTGGCACTGGCGCCCGGAACCATACATACAAGACGGCAGGAGTGAGAGAAAAAGTCACGCGGATCGAGAAAACCCGGATCCATCTATACCAAGACATCAGGACCCAGTGGAGGCTTTTGACCCTGAGATTCTCTTAGTAGCATTAACAACTCAAATCTGCTCAGCCACGTCTGCAGTAGAGATTTCCAAGTAATTCTCGTACCCATGGATGATGATTGTTGATCTTGACGAGGGGGGTTTGTTTTTCTTTTACAAGATCTCGATTAGTTACAAGGTTGCCGCTGTTGTCGCCACGTCAGGGACGGTATTTTGGGGGTGACCTAAATGACATTCTATGTTTATCGCTATCGCTGTTGAGTTAATAATAGGCCTGATATCTTTGTTTTTGAGAATAATCAGGCTTGCACGCTAGTAGCTAAACCACGTCGTAAAATACAGTGTCAGATATGCTGTAAGAATGAAATGCAGGAATTCGAAGATACTAGTTATCAGACGTAAGGCCTACTTCGAAACTTCCTTTCCGATCTTACAGTGCAATCGTCCTGCATAGTCTGCCTGCCTGCCTGCCTCGATCACCACCAAAGGGATACACAAGACGTAAAATAGCGTTACCAATAGCCCAACTACTACAGGCTCGGCATCAAACTCCCCCAATCCAAGTATGTTCACCGCAGATCTTCTATCGAAGAACCATTGAAATCCCAGGTCCCAATAGTAGCAATCCATTACTAGCGGTTACAATCACTAATTAGACCGACTCCCTCGCATTGAATTGACATTCGTAACCAAGTTAAGCTTCCAAGCGCCTGCATATCCCGGTGGGTCATCCAGCGCAAGCCTAGAACTTACGTAGAAGGTACGGGATGTATGGGATGCTTTTCGATAGGGATGCTCGATGACCACACCTGAAAATTGTATCTAAGTGATAAGTATATGGGTAGTTGGTGTGGTTTGTTTACGCTCGAAGTGGAAGCAAATTTAGAATGCTTCCCATTATCTCTCTGCCATAAGATGAAGGGGAAGATAATTCGGCGTAAGTTCGCTGCTGTTATCTGATTACGGGCGACTCCTTGTATTCTGGACTGGAACCCGTGACCCGACCCGGGGTCCCCTTGTTTTACGTAGTTTTGTATGCTCGGCGTCTGTTGAACGCGAGCTCCGTGTTTGTTTCTCAATTAATATATTGCTCGGGGTGGTTTGTTTTTTATCGGCGATTCGGGGGTTGTTTATGGTATGGGGTTTTGGTTGTGGTTGATTGGTGGTATCTGAATGAGGATACTAGATTGACTGTCGTGAGTAATTTTGCTTGAAAACCTTTTTTTTTTGCTGTACTGCTTTAGATGATTGTAGACACATGGTTACAGATATTGGTATTTAGGACATTGATCAAAGATGAGTTTTACAATAAATAGTAATTTACGTCTAAAAGTATCCAACTAAGTTGTGACCCCCGTGTTCTATGGCAGGTCGCCTTACCGGGAGATCCCGGAACGCCGTTTGAGTCAAGGCATGCCGAAGATAGTTCGGGATTGCGCCGGGGTCTGCTCGCTCCCTTCATCACTGGCCCCCGACGTCAGACAGGGGCCGGTGAACATATTAGAAATAGACTATTTGTTGTTGCTCCTGCATTTTCCGTTTGATGTTGTCATTGCTTCTGAAGATGTTGGCTTGGCTTCCAGATGACTTTTCAATACGAGGATTATCGGAAGGGCTAGGATCAATAATACATCATCGTCTACTATAAGTAGTTCGTGTCAGAAGGACAAACAAGAATTTGTTTCAAAGCGGTACACTATAAACAGAAGGGGATGTATTTGGAAAGATATTATATCACTGCATGGCCTCATATCCTGACTCAGAAGTCTTCATAAACCCGAATTCTACCTCGCCATCCTTGGGTGCGATTTCCTTCTTCTCTAACTTGACGACATGTGCATGGCGGGGTCCATTGTTGATGTCTTTGAGGAACTTTTGTAGAGACTCTTCGGTTCCTTGGGCTTCGCCTTCTACCTGCATGGTATTCGTATAAGTATCTTACCTGATATTAACACGGGAAAGGGGTCATGAAAAGAAACATGCAAAGTGTCAGATGCAAAGTAGAAAGGGGTTTATACACACCCTTCCACAATGTGTGTTCTTCACCCAGCCTTTTACATCATACGCGGTGGCTCTCTTTTGAGTAAAGTCCCTATAGATCGCGGCGTGCTTAGCGAGAAGTGCATCTACAGCGTGCAGAAGGCAGGGTATATTTACCGGAATCCCACTCCTGCCAGACCAAGTGTTAGAATCATCTGCCACAAAAGGCCTCACAGATATTGCTTAGGAGCATTGACGTGAACTTGCCTTGGACCGTGCCAGATACTTTGAATGCGATCTGGAGTAGTTGTGTTAGTCCATCTGTTATAGATGACGTAGCGATCACGGGGAAGGGTATATTGTGTCTTGGATAAGGGTCTGAGGGGAATGCCTTACACGTTGCGATGCCATCTTGATAGATGTATATGACCTTTTCCAAAGCATAAAGAAGATATCGCCGATTTTTGATGTCTATGGACTGGTTATTGTTCTCTTGAACCTGGTGAGGCAGGCAATGGCTTAGTCATCTGATATCATGAGGGGTGCGACTGCGTACGCTAGTCCCGATTGGGTCAGATATTGTTCGCGGCCAATCAATGCATGTTTATCTGGATTAGTCACTTATCGAGCCACTTGAAGTGTACGATAATATTGCTGTATCGTAGATGGCATGGTTGTAAGATCAATTATAATGCTATAGATGTTATACTTATGTTATTAATGCTATTTCCAATTTAATCCATGCTGTGACTGTTCTGGTATGCAGTGCTGACAGCGGCATAACCAGCAGCCCGTGACCCCAGCGGAGATCCGCCCCTGAGCCAAAAATGGAATCCGCGATGATCTCCCCCAACATCCGTTCCTGTTGCTCTCCGCACTCCGTCCTTTCGGTGTCTCCCCTCGTCCTTTGTCTTTGAGGGGTTGCACTGCGCAATGCTAGTGCTAAGATGACTCTTTCAGTACTCTCGTGGCTTCGGAGATTATACTCCCTTGATACTCTAGATACCCGCCTTACTACCTCTTCTACTACTCCGCCCAAAGCTGCCGCGGGTCACACGCGAGCTCCCTCCGCCAGAGATGCCCGTGCCATTGCGATTGCGCGCAATGCTCCTCCTCCGAAATGGCGAACTTTTGAGTTCTACATCTACTATGTGATCTTCTTGATCGCTGTGCCGTTGATGTTCATCACGGCCATTGGGGTATCGCAAGGTAAGCCTGGACCGCTTTTCTGTTGTAAGAGGAGCAGCTATGCTGACTTGATGTTGTAGAGAGCCATCCTTCGTATCCGACTTACGCTCATTTGCTGTCGCCTGGCTGGATACCTGGACGTCAAGTTGTAAGTAATTTTGTTCAGTTGCTCTGTATCAGATGCTAACTTCTTTGTTCTGCTAGGACAACTCCGATGACCAGTATTCCTCGTTCCGCGATAACATACCATACCTGTTGCTGCTACTAGTCGGACACCCATTGCTTCGCCGCCTATACAACAGCTATGTACGCCCAGTCGCTGGAGATATCGGGCCTTCAAAGGCTTCTCCGGCAGTTCTTGCTGCGGATGCTCGTCTCAACCAGCGGATAAGCTTCGACTTCTATTTCGCGCTTGTCTTCATAACAGCCCTTCACGGTGTTTCCGCGCTGAAGGTCCTCGCAATCCTATATGTGAACTACAAAATCTCCAAGAATCTCCCCAGGAAGTACATCCCTGCGGCAACTTGGTTGTTCAATATTGGAACGCTGCTTGCGAATGAACTCTGTTCCGGCTACCATTTGGAATGGGTGGCTTCTTTGTTCGTGTCTCCGAGTAGTGCAGACAAGGAAGCGCCCTTGATACTCTGGGGTCGCTACCTTGATGGTTTTGGTGGTATTATGCCCCGATGGGAGATTCTCTTCAACATTACGATCCTTCGATTGATTAGTTTCAACATGGATTACTATTGGAGCCTCGACTACCCCGCTGCCAGTCCCATTGAAGTAAGTCCATTCCCCTGCGGTACGGGACCCAAGCTGACAGAGATAAGAAGAAACAAGTCGATCCTGCAGCACTGTCAGAGCGTGACCGTGTCAGTATCCCCGCGGAACCAATTGCATTCAATGGGCGCTATTACCTTGCCTATGTTCTCTACGCTCCGCTGTACTTGACGGGCCCTATTTTGACCTTCAACGACTACATCTCCCAGCAAAGATACGCACCTCCATCTCTTACGCGGACCCGAACAGTACTCTACGGTGTCCGTTTCTTCCTGACACTACTCGCCATGGAGCTCATACTTCATTTCATCTACGCCGTGGCTATCTCGAAGGCGTCCCCCGACTGGTCCCTGTACACAGCTGGCGAACTCAGCATGTTGGCATACTTCAATCTGCACATCATCTGGCTTAAACTTCTGATTCCATGGCGGTTCTTCCGTTTCTGGGCATTAGTCGACGGAATTGACCCGACCGAAAACATGATACGTTGCGTTTCGAACAACTACTCTCCCTCCTCCTTCTGGCGCGCATGGCACCGCTCCTTCAATCGTTGGATTGTGCGCTATCTCTACGTGCCCCTAGGTGGAGGCAGCAGAGGAAGTGCCGACCGCGGCAAATCTTCCGGTATCTACGCCAAGGCCCGCCAGATCTTCAACACGCTTATTGTCTTCACCTTTGTTGCTCTCTGGCATGACATCAACCCTCGTCTCCTCATGTGGGGCTGGCTTATAACCCTCTTCGTTCTGCCCGAAGTCATCGGCAGACTACTGTTCCCAGCCAACAAATGGCGTTCCCACCCGACAGCGTACCGTGTCCTTTGTGGAGTTGGAGCAGTCGGCAATGTTCTAATGATGATGATCGCGAACTTGGTCGGATTCGCGTTAGGGTTGGATGGATTGGAGGGCCTTTTGGCTGGTATGTTAGGGTCCTGGGCCGGCATCATCTACCTCATCTCAGCGTGTTGTGCTCTGTTCGTGGGAGTGCAGGTTATGTTTGAGATTCGTGAAGAGGAAGCACGGGCTGGTATTGACTTGAAATATTGATTCTATCTGTGAATATTATACAGCACTTGCTTAGACGCATTGCTAGATTTGGAATAGCATAATTAGTTGCATCTAATAGGGTATCAAAATGTTCATATAGCCCGCATCAGCGCGGGCTTCCACTAGTAGGAGTATGCACCATGCTCTGGGGAGCGGCTCGAGAGCTTCCGCCAAAGATCCAGTAGTGGTGTTCTGAGTGTAGACTCAAAGGCTGATAGTGCAGTACTGTCTGAACACTACCACCTTCTTTACTCCCTAGTCATATTATCCCCCAAAATTACCTCCCCTCATCTGCGACTAGAAAAACGCCCCGCACCTCGAATCCTCATGCACCTTATAACACCCCAACCCACAAGTCCTCAAATGACAATTCTTGCACCGAATCTTCCCCCAATACCCACACATACAGCAGAAATACCGCGGTGACTTCCTCGCGATCGGCGGGCCAGCGCGCGATGCATGATACGTCAACGGCGGTTCTGCGAGCAAAGCCTGCATGATACGTTCCGAGGGCGCGGACGGAATATATGATTTCAAGAGGGGGTCGTTGTCGTGTTCGGATTTGATTAGTTCATGGGGGTTTTGCTGCTCTTCCTCTTTCTCCCCTTTCTCCTCCTTCGATTCGGTATTGTCTTTGTCTTGGGGTTGGTCTCTGTCCTGTGCTGGTGTTTCTGTTTCTGTTTCGGCGGCGGTGGTTACTGTTGAGGCGCGGGAGGAGGTCGGGGCTGTGGAGGAGGGGCGTTGTTGTTGTGCTTTGCGATTACTGCGCGAGGAGGTATCGGGTTTAGGTGTTGGTGCTGCTGTTAAGGGCGTTGAGCTGCGCCGAGAGGTAGAGCCTGGTTTGGTGATTTTGTTGATGGAGGGGCGGTGCGAGGAGGTGGAGGATTGTTGTTGTTGGGTTTGCTGGGTGGATGCTTGCTGCGCTAGAGCGGCTTCTTCGTCGTCGAGGTAGTTGCGGAAGGTCTTTTGGGATTGTAGGATTCGGCGGACGTTTGAGGTCACTTTGCCTCTTGTGCCTGGAGAGGAGGGTATTGTAGGTTAGCATGTGTGTTCCGTGAACGTAGGATGTGTGTGTGTGTGTGTGTATGGCATACCTCGACCAGACGCATCCTTCTGTTTTACTGGAATTGAGATTTGCACGTCCCGGTGGTTCTCGCGATCCAGCTCCGCGAGATGTCGAACGATGGCATTGTTCTGTCGTGAGGAGAGGTCCGCTCGGCCTGGATCGCGGATTCCGCGTTTGCGGCCGATGGCGGGTGTAATGGCGGCTTTGGCTGGGTCGAAACCGCGATCGGGGACGTAGGTCCACCCCGGAGTGGCGTGGGTGGTTGTGCTGTTGGGGATGAGTTCGACGTGATACATATTTAGGAGAGAATGGAGGGCATGATTCGGTTCAGGATGCTAAAGGGCGATGATGGACTTGGATGGGATAGATTTGAATCTCCGCGAAAATGGATGGATGGTTCGAGAGAACGGAGATGATCCCGTGCCCGGGTTTGTCTTGTTTGCAGGGAGCTTTGGCTCGATGACGCCAGCGACTCGCCGCCAACTGGTTGATACACTACTAGATGATTGAAGAAGACATACATGGCTGGTATTAGTGTACATACAGATAGATACTGTTCGTATGCAGCGCCGCTGATTTGATTACGCAATCCTCCGCCGCTGTTTTACTCCTGGCCTTCGCCCGTGCCAGACCCTGCAGTTGCAACTAAACAACATGATTGATGCTAAGACCCGAAGATGAAATTGCGCAGTAGACTAGCAAAAGGGAATAAGTTTGTCGCAGAGTAAGCAAATGAAAGGATTGAATGAACGGGGTAATAACTTCAGCATTAATGAGAATGTTCAAGCCTATTTCTTCTTCTGCAGCTGGTCCACCTTCCTTTCTAGCTCCCCAATGTACGTCTGCAGCTTTTGTGTAGCTCCTTGAAGAGCCTGATTACCTTGTCAGTAGCTCTCACAGTTTTTTTCTGGGAGGAAAGCGCTATACGTACAATGATATCTTCTGTCAGCATCTCGTTCGCGATCCTGTACTCGCCCAGGACATAGAAGTAGACTCCGGCACTGGCAGCAATCGCGCCAGTAAGGAATCCGAACAGGCTAGTTCATGATCAGTAAGCTTATAAATCTTTGAATAAAGCGCAGTCCAGGATAAACCAACCCTCCGCGAAACGCGCCCACGGGCTTCTTCGTAGGCAGAGTGTGCGCCGCTTCCTTCATGAAGGGAGAGACCGAAAAGCTCCGCGCCGGGACAAATGCCGACTTGGTTGCGACGGAGCGCAGGCCGGGCAACATTCTCTTGCACACGTTCATGGTCATAAATTGTTTGACGATCTGCAGTTGCGATTAGCACAGGGCATCGCTAGGCAAAATGATCAGGTTTCTTCTCACGTTGGAAGGAGTTGAAGTTGGGGGCGCCGGGGAGAGCTTGGGATGAGTGACGTTGGCGGTGCTGTTTTGGGCGGAGATTGCGGCTGCTGCCGGCCCAATTATCCACGGCGCATTTTCCGATCTCCTTCACCCCAACTGTGCTGCTGGTTATTGTATTTGCCGCCTACGATTGATCACAAGTACTATTGGTGGCTGGGCGACGTGCGGAGATGCTACTGGATTGTTCCATGGATACGACCTGTTTGATACATACCATTATGCATCTAATGGCACATACTGGAAAAGATAATTCTATCTACTATAGTAAGACAGAGATCGTAGACCTCGTTTGTTACGGACAGCGCGGAGTCTGGCATACAGGCATTGGGTATAATACAAGAGAGGCTCGCTAGGTAACAGGAATTGGAAATAAATGAACGACGCTGTTAGTTGGCCATCGTACTTTCGTTGAACAAGTCCGCTAACAGGTCGTCTCGGCAGACGTCCAACCGCGGATGGCCCATGCTATACGTGCTCTCGAATGCATGAATACTGAGCTGATCAAAGAACGGCCGAAGGACTCGCTCAACAATCTCATCCTTTGCCGTTTCGCGAATCCAGTCAGCAGTTAGGCTTGGCTGTTTCACCCCCTGGCTGAGATCGGCCGTCTCCCCGAGTCCATCCGACGAGGCCGATCCGCGCGCTCCCAAGCTCTGCGAGATTTCGTCCGCGAGTGCCATGGGTTCAAAGCGCTCCGGAGGGTAGACCGCATCTATGGTGTCGGTCACGTAAAGCCATTCGAGAAGTTGAAAGTCATCAGGCGCGAGGATGAGCAGAGTATCCAGCAACTTACACGCTTGTAGCAGCGCATATGGGTTGTACACCTCCTGCTGCTGGCCTACTGAAACCGCCGAGATGGCCTCCTGGAGCTCAGAATTCATCAACGGCCAGAAGGGGGCTAGAGTAGTGGCAGTGCTCTTAAGGGCAAGGGCGCGCAAAACCATGAAAACCTCAGACCTGGTCGTAGAAGATGGGGACGAGGAACTAGTCGCCCCCAACAGATCTTCCAACTTCTGAAGGAGTGCAGGTAGCTCTGCAACAAAGTAGTCAGTGTTGGCTGACAGGATGAGGAGGCTTATCCTGCGGAGATTCAATTGCGCCTTTCGATCCGCTTCTAGACGGGCAGCAGAAGCTCCAACGCCAAACATGATGCCTGCAGTACTTGGCGGAGTGAGTCGGGACATCAACTCAGACATTCGATCTTTGTCGGCGAGCACCCATTGCCGCAAAAGGTTTACCCAGCCGTCTTTCACCAAATCAAGCTGCATTCCGAAGAACTTCGGGTCGTTGAAGGCATCAGAGATATCCTTCTTCCAAATCTTGGAAGCGGCGGGGATTTTTGCTATGTGCTGGAGGAGCGCCATAAAATTCCGACTAACGTTATTCGGAAAGAGGCGTGCGCGAAAGAGTGGCCCGATTATATGAGTAGAGATCCCAGACACCGCGGTGGTAATACGATCCGAATCGCCCAAGGTTGTTGTAAACGCGGGCATAGAGGCCGCAAGAATGCTGAGCAGGTCATCAGGCCCGACATGTGGCAGCGATCCACTGTCATAATCAATAGACGCCCGGCCGAGAAGTGCAGACTCCTGGGAGAGACCCATGGGCTTGCTGGTGAATATCGCCGTCAGAAGACGCAGGAGTACATCCTAAAGTTGTCAGCATAGCCACGTCAAAGTCAAAATTATAGAAACATACTCCTAACTCCTTCCTCATCCGTCGATCTTCTCCGAAGCTCGTATTCTCCAACTTCGCCCCAAGGATCGCTGCGAATTCCACTAATCGCGGAAGGATCTGCCTATGCGGAAAAGGATTGCTCAAAACATCTCGTAAGAAGGTGGTACAATCTGCCCAAATTTCATCCAAAACATCATCGTCAAGTGACCTGGCGTAGGTCACTAGGAAACCTGCTAGCTCAGACTCCGTAAGGCTTGCGGTCAAGGTGGACTTGCGGTTGGGTTCCAATGCGGCGGGGTTAGTTCGCGTGTAGATAGAGTTGAACACTGCTGGTATTGTGATCTTTGGACGAGATCCATCCAGCGTATGGAGCAAACTGATGATCAAAGACGAAGTGTCGCTGTCTGACTTCGTCCATACCTCTACCGCAGTTTCAAGACATTCAAGTGCCTCGGCCGTAAACAAGTGTTCCAATATCCGACGCGATCTATTCCTCATGCGCAAGGATGTATATTGGAAAGATGCCAACGATTCCGGGTCTTGGGGGAGTGTGCTTCGTTCTACCGCGCCCCACGACCATATCGTAAAACAAAGTCGCACGGCGTCCTGGAAGCAAAGCAAAACGGTGAGGCGGTTATTGGCCGCGCTTGACCGAGCATGACTCTGTTCAGACGCGAAGACTCCCGAGACCATGTTTCCAAAGAACCCATGATTCTGGTCCGGGCTCTTGGCAGCCGGTACATTTGCTTCTTCCGACAGCAGACGCTCGTGGGCAGTTGCGATGCAAGTCTCGAGACCGGTGAGTAGAGCGATCGTAGCGTGTTCAGAGCGATCTTCAGGCCAACCCTCGGTGCGCTTGAAAGATAGCTGAAGACTTGCATACGCCAGTTGAATTTCCTTACAAAAGCATTCCACTAACATCAGAATTATCTGGAATATGGATCCTGCATAGAGCGGAAGTACTTCGCAAAGCAGTATCGTCCACCTCTCCACTATCTCCCTGGAGTTTGGAGAGCTTATGCCTTTTAGAAGGCATTCCAATAGTTGCTGAGGGGGCTGGGGTAGAGGTGGCAATGCCAGAGACTTATCAGGTTTGTCGCTTGTGAAAGATAAGATAGAAGGACTTGTTAGACGCTCTCGAGAGGCAGTCCTTTGATGCTTTGGGCGTGGTGGAGGTGGTGGCAGGTACGCTTGAGCAAATCGAACCTTCAGCGCTGCGAGAAGAGTGTCGATAAGTGCTGCTTGAATACCGACACTACCACCGTTATCAAGCACGCTGGACAGCCTATCGACCAGGAAGGAGTCAATTCCAGATTCGGCCACCTCCTCGGCCCCGGGACCAAGTAGAAGTTGACGCATCACAAGCAGCGCAGTTTGTTGCAGTTTGATCTCATCCATGCCCTGATGAGCAGCTGTCGTATGCCCGCTAACCACTCTGAGAGAGGCCTGGAAAATGACTGCATGAAGACTCTGGGCTCCAGCGTTATCTGCAACTATCGTCAGAAGTCTGGTCATAGAAATGCTTGTTAGAACCAACCTTCAGATGTTGGAGTATCCTTGTGCTTCTCCGTCTGTACCAACGTCTGTGTGAGCAAGCTGATCCACCCATTATGTGAAAGCGTTGATATGAGATTGGATATTGTCTGTAGTAGATAGCTGCACTCTCTGTAGTCGTCTGGAGATACAGTGGGATTCGCAGTGTCTGGCTCTGCGTTTTCAGACTGCTGGAATAGATGATCAAGCCTCGAAACTACCATGCGGAAAACTCTATAGAACATAAGCACTTGTTCAAAGCAGAGCTTTCAAATCAAGATCAAACAGTAAAGCAACATGGGAGAGACTGATTTTGGGTGTAAACGTACTTATGTATGGAAGACAGGTCTTCAAGCCAGCGGTGTACGACTTGAGAGGCTTCATTCACGCCCTGATTGAGCAAGTCCAAGACGATAAAGAGAGGGCGCTCGAGCATCGATGACTGGTAAGAGATTCCCAGCTGTGACACATTATGTAGATGCTTCGGAGGGAGCTCGTATGTACCGTGGTGACTGTGAGCCCAGAGAACAAAGTACCTCCCTGCTTGTTCTGCCGACGATGATTGACGATGCCCGTTCGACTTGTCCACCATGAGAGAAGTGATCGCAGCCTCGACCAGATGATCGGCCCATGAAACAGAATGTAAATGCCACAATGAGCGAACTGCCTCGACATGAAACTTAGGGTTCAGCGGCGAAAGATATTGCCATAGCCGGTTGACAAGGGTGGGAATCAAGTCAGATACATCCTCGTAACTGATGTAGTACCCGGGGCTATGGATAAAATACATGCTCGTAATGGCGGATGCAATCGAGGAGATGGCTGCGAAGGAGGCGGTGGATGTCTCCACTTGATCAGCGCGAACACGATCACATAGTGCCAAGTAAAGGCGTCTATCGCGCAGGATCTTTGTTTTTGGAAGCTTCTTCAACATGACAATAAGAAGGCTTATACGTTCATGCATTTGTGTCGCATCGCCGCGGCCATCGAGAGCCTCAATAGCTTGTTCGTAGGCATTCCTGATGATGAGTTCCCCAAGGTGCTTGGGGGCAAATGGAAGCGGCTGAGGATCAAGACTCTGCTTGCTCTGTTCATAAAAGGCATGTATCCTACTCAAAATTTGTGAGCCAGGTACATCGGACTTGGAGCCATCCGCCTTATGGGTATCAGACTTCTTCGCGAACGCCCTCTCAGTGAGTAGGCCCGATAAAGAAGTCATAACACGGGACAGCCCAGTTGCTACGGCACGCAGCCGCTCTTGGTCCAAGTTAGGACTCTTTTCCGGAGAGAGTTCGCTCGATTTGATGATTGTGGCGAGAGTCAGCAAAGGCACATGTGCAAGTACCATGTCCTCTTCGCGCACATTGAAGTTTTCGAGGATGAAATGCGCAAGCTCCAGATTCTTCAGTACCTTGTCGTGCCCTGAGGTCAAGTCCTTGGACTTCCAGTCAATCAGATACAAAAGTTCGGAGAAAATGACGCCGCTTTCCACGCCATCAAAGAAAGAACTGGCACTGCGAAAAACTTCCTCGAACTGAGTTTTTGACGCTTTCGATTCAAAAGCCTGGACACTTCGCATGATCGGCAAGAATACCTCCGGCACAATGTAGCCGCCAACCTCCCATCGGTCCATCAGCGACAGCGATATGCGAAAAGGCCTCGTTTTCTCTGCGGGTACTTCGGTATCTTTCTCGATCATGCCAAGAAGACCGTTCACCAGTGGAGTCAATCCGAATCGACTAAAGTATTCGGAATGTGAAATTTCTTGGGCATCAGGGACCGGTTGAGAAGCGTTATCCGATATAGAATTGCGCGCCTCGAAGGATGGCCGATCATTTGCAGGCTCAGGACCAAGGAGCCAGGCCCATAACCTTCTGTTCAGACTCATGTCTCGTCGAGACACAACCCCCACAGCTGCGAGAATCAGTTTCTGAAGATCATCCTTGGTGATTCTAGCTTGCAAAATAGGTGAGCTCAGGGGTATATGGGTCACTAGCAGATCAAGGAAATTCCGCTGGACAAGGACTTGTTCGTCTGCTAGTCCAGTTGCGAAACACCGTATCAACAAACCGGGTTCCGGCAGGATAACTGAATCCGCTGCCACAGAGATCTCATGAGGTAGATCCTTAGCTTCGCTCACTTCACTTTTGCTCGGCCTGCGATCTGTGATGCCCAGCTTAGGTAGGTAACGGTTCAAGTAGGCAAGTACACCCGAGCGTCGGCTAGGGCTAGTTATGGACGCCAGGAACAAGCACTGCCAAAAGTAGTGACCACTTGGACTAGACTCTGCTTCCTGTTTATATGTATCCATCTTACTCGCGATGTCGCGGAACTTGTTGACGAGTCGCATGGTAGGGTCAAAGTCATCGCTTGTTTCTTCTTCTAACCCTGGCAGGAGGGCCAAAAGGATGGCCTTGAGGGCCGGTCGGATTGCCCATGGTTCGAGATTGCAAATATATGTTTCCACAAGAGACAGAAAGAGGGGCCGGACAGTGAGCGAGGCGAACGTCAAAGTGGGCGCGACACCAGGGAGGTATAAGGGCAGGTCGTGCGACAATCCTTCCGGCTAAGGCACCAAAGGCATACGTTAGCAAGAAGCAAGTAATCAAATTATGCAGGAATCTGAGTGATAAAGGCGAACCTTGATCAGATTGAAAATGTACGTATAGACTTCAAGAGCCTTCTGGTGGACACCGGACGGCAGGGAAGGGTTAAGGCATTGGGAAAGTCGTTTCGCAACCAGTAGTTTGTGAGGCACAATGGGCATGTCCGCAGGATGGGATTGAAGTGCCTATGAAGATAGCCATCAGTAAAGTGCATTACCGCCCCTGGTATATTATGCATCGTACCTTGAGCAAGCGGCTCAGGAAGGAGATGTAATCCGCCCATTCCTGCAAAGCAGTATCGAATAGTGACAGTGCACGTTCAACGGTAGACGCATAACGGCGATAATTCTTATCCTTCTTCAGCGGCTCTAGCAATATCAGAAATATCAGTATGCAGTACAATAAAATCTGTACGACCAAGAGTGACCAACCTTCTTTCCCCCGTAGTCGGGAGCGCGTGAGAGAGCTTTCGGAGCTTGCGGGGGAATTCGACCTCGGAAACGAGCTCGGATCAAGGCTCATGGTGCGATTGTCGGATGATTGATTCTGTCGTGCAAATGTGACTGCAGATCGCGCCTCATCATATCTTGTGCATCGGGCCAAACTGGGGTGGGAGGGCTAGTTTGATCTGGCTGGTTGGAGCTGATGTTGCGAAAGGGCCAGGCGGCCATGTTTCCGTCTATCTGGCGTTGACCCGCCCGCCTTTGGGGAGCTCCGCCGGGAGGCTCCATCTTCTTCCTTCGGTCGCTCAATCTAAACTATGCTTGTTTCCTCCTCCCGCCCGCCGTGGTCGCATCGCGGCCTTGCAAACTCCCACCATGCGACATATCCCTCTTAATGTCTATGGCGTCTGTCAACTTATTTTACAAAGCTAGGATATTTGTCTTTGCTACAGACTCAATTTCTAGATGATCCCTGCTAGAAAGTGGCTGAGGCAACTTCCGGTGCGCGCAAGCTGAGAGTATGGATTCGACGGACCCCGGTCCGTCGCAGGACACCCCCGATCATGGCATTACGCAAGCGCCGACTCCCCAAAACGACGACACGCCATCGTCCGAACAAGCGACTACGAGATCTACAGAATCTCCTGGCGGTGACCACAGCACCGTTTTCGATGAACGGCCACCGCCCCTTCCCCCGCGCCCAGGCACATTGAATCTGTTGGATGAAGGAGGGGCATCTCTCCGGGTACCGCGGCAACCTGCACAACCGGCTCTCCAGTCCAGGGCTACAACGGCAGTATCTCTCCCAGACGTTGCTTCGCAAGATACAGGGAAGGATACTTTGGCTGTGCGCAATTTACAGGGCGCACTGAAGGCTAAGGCGAGCCTTAGCCACTTAGCCAGCCCAAGAGGAAGCGAAGCCGGCGATACTGCTAGTATCAGGAGCACAATACCTCAAGGAGATTTAGGCGACGTCGAAAATGTCTTCGGTGACTTTCTGGCAACGGAGCCTGGTCTTATTCGCCAGCCTAACACGGGACTCTTGCAATTTCCGGAGTTCCAAGCTGACGACGTAGAAGACGATTTTGCCTCGGAGTTTGAGCCAGTTGGAGACGTCGGCGAAGAAGGGGAGAACGAAGGTATGCATAGTTCGCAGGTAACGGACCTTGCATTCGCTAACCAACAAACCCGTGCAGAACTGGTTCTGGAAAATTGGAAGTCGAAACGCAAACACTACATTATCCTTTCAGCTGCTGGCAAACCGATATGGACGCGACATGGTGACGGTGGTCTGATATCGACCTATGTTGGCGTCATTCAGACTATCATCTCGTTCTATGAAGATTCCAAAGACCGTCTAAGCAGTTTCTCTGCCGGTGATACAAAGTTCGTGGTGGTCAACAAGGGGCCTTTGTACCTGGCTGCGATCAGTCGCATGCTTGAGAGTGAAACGCAGCTCAAACTTCAGTTGGAAGCCCTGTACATGCAAATCTTGTCTACTTTGACCCTTCCGTCCTTAACCCACCTCTTCTCTATCCGCCCTTCTACCGACCTCAAGCGGCCCCTCCAAGGCTCTGAGACGCTTCTATCTACGTTAGCCGACAGCTTTACGAAGGGGTCCCCATCCACGCTGCTTTCCGCATTGGAATGCCTCAAGATCCGCAAGTCTCATAGGCAAGCGATCAATAACACTCTCCTAAAGACCAAGGTCAACGGCCTTCTCTATGGCTTGGTCGTGGCAGGTGGTCGGCTTGTCAGTGTTGTCCGGCCTAAAAAGCATTCTCTGCATCCCGGCGATTTGCAGCTGCTTTTCAACATGATCTTCGAAGCTGAAGCTGTTAAAGCTGGTGGTGGCGAAAGCTGGATTCCCGTGTGCCTACCAGGCTTCAACAGCAGTGGGTACCTCTACATGTATGTCAGCTTCCTCGATCTCCGAGAGGACTCTGGCAATACTGCCGACGATACAACCACGAAAGAGGAGTCTGTTGCCATCATTCTGATAAGCGCCAATAAAGAAAGCTTCTTTGAAATGCAAGGCATGCGCGATGCATTCGTCGAGGTTTGTGACCATGCTTCTTATGAAAATATGCTACCAAGCTAACCTAGTACTTTAACTCACAGCAATTAGAGAAGAATGGCAGTCTCAAAATCATCAGAGAAGCCGTTGACAAGGGCCGCCCCAGCACAACAGACATAGTTCCAGGGACCGTCCTGCACCACTTCCTTTACAAGTCACGGGCCAACGTACAATTCACCATGTCCGCGTATGACCCCGAATTTGCCTCGGTATCCCGACGTCGCAGGTACGCACAACCCTTTATTCTCGCTTTCGCTGAGTATGGAATCCTAATACTGACGATGACAATGTCTTCAGGCTGATGTCCACCTATAATAACCTACATGCAAGCATCCATGCTAAACACACCCATGTCAAGATTCACCACTGTGTCTCGCAATCCTCCAGCTCATTTGCGTGGGTAACACCAGTGTTCGAATTTTATTGCGTGGCAAATGCAAATGCGAACCGGAATGCATTGGCGCAGAGCGCAAGCAAGATAATAGAATGGGTGCATCAAGAAGAGGAGAGACTTTTCATCATTGGCGGTGCGGTAAGTTATGCAACGGCTCTTTATCCAGTTGAAAACAGTGACTAACAGTCAATTACCAGGTATTTTGAATCATTTCTGGCCCTGCATTGATAGAGGTATATACAGTTTTCTTGAAATATGTTCTGGTCAAAGACGTCTAGTACAAACTCGCCAAAGTGCATCCGATATCATCTCAAGCTAAGGCTACATAAGACTTTCCTATATGACAAAGATACACCTAATGCATCTATACACAAGACCATGCATATCATGATCCAGTAACCAAAGTCCATCCCTCTAATCAATGGTATCCTCCCTCAGAGCAAACAGCTGCTGAATCAGCTCATCTGACTTGCTGCGAATGGCATTATGATACATAACGTTCGTGATGAACTGCTTGGCACCCTTGATCTTGGCTGCAGTATTCTGCGCATGATCAAAGTGGACATACATATCATCTATGTACGTGGCCGCGTAGACAGGAACCTCGTTCCGTGCTAGCTGGGCTTCATCGTAAAGCGCCGGCCAGTCTTCCGTCGAGGCGAGGATGTCTGCCGCATCTCGAACCTGGCTGAGTTCTGTGTAGGAGTCGAACATGTCTTTGTAGACCTGTATTCATGCGAGTTAGTATTGTTGATTGGATTGATGGTCGGAGCAAGGAAGTTGGGGTACTTGCCATTTCACCAGTGAAGAGGATCTTAGACTTGTTGGCGTCGATTTGAAAATCCGGGTTGGAGGCGCGTAGTCTATCTGCGGACCAGTTGGACGGTTTACTGTCATGGCGATGTTGTCAGCTCGTGCGAATATAGGTGGGGTAATTGTTGGTAGTGACTCACCCCTGGCAGTAGATAGCCTCATGTAGAATAGCGTAGATGATGTTGTTGTCCATGCCGCCGAAACTGTCAATAGAGGTGAGTGTAGGGTGGGTGAGGAAGCCGAAGACATCCAGGTCGTTCCAGGCACGTAGTACGAGGTCTATGTCGTGTTAGTGAGGGTTAAAGATATGATATCGATTCCGGGACCCATTACCATGGATGCTGTCAAGACCACCTGTGGGATGTTAGTAAAAAGGATCGGAGAATAATCGCTTCAGAAGTACTTACCGTGCATGCCAAACAGGATGCCCATTTGCTGGAATCGCTCCGGGGTCAGTGTTCCTGTAGGCAGAGCGACCTCGTTGTCTTCCAGGTATTGGATAATTTGCTTGACTCTTTCGACGTCTTCGGGGAACTTGGCGTAGTATGCCTTGTTCCTTTCGATGACCTTTTCTGTACGGGTTTAGCTCATCATGCACTAAATGGATCAAAGTAGATTGCTTACCGTATGTACGTGCATACACAGGATCGGGATTATCAACGAGGGGAGGAAGACCACCGCAGATAAAAGCCTCAGCCAGTCCTTCCGGGCTTGTAGTGAAAAAAGGTTAGTATATTGCTGAATCCTATAAAGACTGGGCCAGACATACAACATGGAAAGGTAAGTCACGGCGCAGAAACCACCAAAGCTTTGGCCAATAATGCTCCATTTCCGCTTATCCTCGGGGTAATCGGTCATCAGACAACGGCGAACAGCCTCGCAGTCACGCACAATGTTGTCTGCGCGGAAGTTCTTCATGTACTCTGCTTGTTTGATGGCATTGCCTTGCCGAGCAAGGGTGCCCGCTGTGACGGTGGAGCTGAGACCGGTGCCACGTTGATCGAGGAACAAGACCTATTTGGTGAGAAAGGAACCCCTTAAAATATACTACTGTTCAGTAGGTTTATATACCTGATAACCCTTTTCGAGGACTGTTCCAATCCAGCCATACTCTTGCGGGGGGCGGCATCCCATTCCAGGGCCACCCTGCAAGTACACCAGGAACGGCAACTGCTTGTCGTCCTTGGGGGTCTCACTTGGCTCAGCAGGCGTTACCAGACGACGTACACTGCGGGCAAACAGTCTCAGAGTGCCATCATTGGGCTTGTTGTAATTGAGAGGCACATCGAAGAACAACTCAGCCACCCGGAGCCTGCCTGGATAACCCCACCTGTCATTAGCGTGACATTTTTCCTTAAAACCGGGAAGCCATACGCACCGGGAATATTATGAAAGCGCCGATCGATCAACTTGGCAGCCATTGTCGTGGCACTTTTAGCTATGGGGTCTATGGGATTGCGGATGTCTTGAATTCCCTACGAAGCGAATTGAGGTGGTGTGACGGGCAGATGGGCAGATGGGTCCAACTGCCGCCGGCGGAGTCTCAGTGCCATTTACTAGCCTCCGCTTTGGGAGAAGCTGTAAACTGTAACGGTATCTTCTCCTCACAATACGGTATGCTGAGCCGCGATTAAGCTTCCCGTCAAAATCACTCCTTTCAGTATTAGGATTTGTTCTTTCTCCACCATTTCTTATGCAGTTTCGCGCTTCGGAGATAACCGCACCTATCATTCGCTTCCTGCACGATTGAAGTCAGAGACTACTAGCGCTGACGCCCACCACTGCAATAGTGCTGCCTACTTATTGCTAACTGCCCCATCACGGTGGTTTAGTGACTAGTACTGTCAAATCTAGTCTTGGAGATCTTCGCAGCATATTTGTCGAATCTGCTCCATTCAGCAAGTCCAGCCGGTACTGTATTCTGAGTCACGTACACCAATCCGGGTACTACTTGCAACCATTTACAGGAAATACTACAAGACGATTTTCTTACCAGTATAAGACTGGAGCTGGATATTTTAAAGCAATTACAGTGTCAATGAAGTCCGTCTATTTCATCTCTTGTCGTATATCCAATACAGTCGTTAACTGATCCTAAGACAACATATTCACGCAATGGACCTAAAAGATATCAAAGCGACCTCCCAAGAGCAGGGCCAATTACATCAGAAGCTATGGGAGCTTAATCAAACATATACACCAGGGAACGTTTTGCCTAGTGCTAGTGACTTGTCGCGAGCCAGAGCATCCCTACCAGAGTCTCTTCCTGTTGAAGGAACGGGATTCGAAAGTGCCACCCAGCATATCCTTAATGACTTGGTCCCAGCCTTCAACCGCAGCAGCATAAGTCCTAATTATTACGGATTTGTCACTGGAGGCGTTACCCCGGCAGCCCTATTTGCAGACAATCTGGTCACAGCTTACGATCAGAATGTTCAAGTGCACCTTGCAGAGCATTCTATATCTACAGACGTTGAGGCCACTGCTCTCGGTCTGCTTTCCGATCTCCTGAACCTGGATCGACGCAGCTGGAATAACGGGACGTTTACCACTGGGGCCACGGCCAGCAATGTTCATGGATTGGCTTGCGGGAGGGAGTTTGTCCTCCGCGCTGCTGCTAAGAAGAGTGGAATCGATATTGAAAGCGTTGGTGAGTATGGCTTGTTTGAAGTCATCCAAGCTACTGGAATCTCTGGTATCCAAATTCTCTCGACTATGCCTCACTCATCATTGGCAAAGGCCGCTGGGATCCTTGGCATCGGCCGTGCCAACGTTAAGAGCATTTGTCGGGATAATCATTACCTTCAAATCGACTTTGAACGACTTGAAACAGAACTGAAAGCCAATAAGGCGAGTATCGTCGCCGTCTCCTGTGGAGAGGTTAATACAGGACACTTTGCAACGTCAAGCTTGGCTGAAATGAAAAGCCTGCGTAGCCTCTGTGACAAGTACGGAGCCTGGCTTCATGTCGATGGTGCCTTTGGAATCTTTGGACGGATATTGAACGGTGCCGAATTCTCCGCTATATCAAAGGGGTGCGAAGGTATGGAGCTAGCAGACTCCATCGCAGGTGACGCTCACAAATTCCTCAACGTACCATACGACTGTGGCTTTGTCCTTTGTCGCCATCCTGGTGAGGCCGAGAAGGTTTTCCAAAACGCAAATGCGGCCTACTTGTCTGGGGGGCAGTCTGGAGCGCTCTCAATACCTTCTCCATTAAACATCGGTATGGAAAATTCGAGACGGTTCAGAGCGCTGCCGGTGTATGCCTCACTATTAGCATATGGCCAGATTGGGTATCAGGAGATGCTACAGAAGCAAGTTCGGCTTAGTCGAATGATTGCAGGCTGGATATTCGATCATCCCAAGTACAATGCTTTGCCAGGGTTGGCAAGCAAGGATGAGTTGCTAGACCAGACCTACATCATAGTGCTGTTCAGTGCAAAGGACGATGAGTTGAACGGCAACTTGACCAAGGAGATAAATGCGACTTCTAAGCTTTTTGTGTCTGGAACCTCCTGGCAAGGAAGACCGGCTTGTCGCATCGCAATCTCAAACTGGAGGGTGGAAGAAGACAGGGACTTTGCACTTGTGACAGATGTCTTGGACAACGTGGCTGGAAAACTATAGAGATATGGCACGGTTGGACTTTTTGCTTCATGTCTGCTTCCATTGTACAATCTAATCTTAATATATACTAGCTACGGTTGCAATTCGAGGTTGAAGTTATTTCATTTCACAGCGTTTGCAGTCTAAGAGACATTCATCTTTCATCTTTCAAACCAATGTTGATATTTACTAGTTGTCACTGAACACCCCATTTGTGTGATGAGTATTTTGTTTACCATTACCTGATGGTTAACCAATTAGAATATCGCCACATAGTTCGTACGTACCATTCGTCTTTGCTCTCCAACAAATGCCTTTGTCCATTGTGAGAATCCATGGATGGTGATTTGATGACTAATCTGACATGATCATCTGCGACACAGATGCTCCGGCTCTTCTCTCCTTCATAAGCCTGCTGGTAGCCCGGCAGCATGGTGCCGTAATGAAAAGGCTTCCTTCACATCAGTCATAATGGTATATCGCGGGAAGCCTTCTAAATCATGCCAGCAGTGCCGCAAACGAAATATCAAAGTATGCCGGTTTCTACATTTCCAACTTCAGGACTGAGCCAGGCTCACACCTCTCACTAGTGCGATAAAAAGGAAGCCGGCTGCTCCCAATGTGCCCGCGCATGTTTAACGTGCTCAGGTTATCAAAAGCCAACGGATATAGTCATACTAAATGAGACCTCTACCACGGCTGAAAAGGTACTGAGGAAGCGATCTTCAGATCGACCAGTTTCTGCAGGGCCTCTATCAACAAACCTCCTTCCAACTGTATTGCAACGCGCGAAGCACCTGTATATCTCGCAATATGTCCAGGACACACCTGCAACGGGCATATACTCGTATATGCAGGTCTTTTACCCATCCAAATCAGACGACTATCCTCTTCTCGAAACCATGATTAATGCGCTTTTCATGGCCACATTCTCATGGTTGCAGGGATATCCCCCAGCTCTCTATTATGCTCGAAACAGCTATGGATCAGCTTTGTCTCTGACTCGAAAGGCGATCCAGTCACGAAAAGAGGCTTTGTTGGATAGGACTCTATTCTCGGTGTTGCTCATGAGTATATTTGAACGCCTCGCCGACGTAGAACAACGAGGGTCATGTATTCGCAACGGACATCTAAAAGGTGCCATTGAGCTGATGGCCTTGAGGGGCGATGGCCAATTTACAGACGATGGGGGCGCTAAGATGTTTTTGCATCTAACCGAGCTTGTTGTTCTTGATTGCCTTGCCAATGAAGTTGATATTCCACTTCAATTCTTGGCATTGCGACAGCAAGCTCTTGAAGCCGGTGCAGATACATCGTCACCAAGGTGGAGATTCTTGGAAATCATGGTACGGTATGCGCAGCTGGAGTACACCGCGAGATCGTCCATTTCCGCGGAAGACATAATCCATAAAGCCAAAGTACTTGACGAAGATCTTGATCGATTGTCCAGTTATTTGCCTTCTTTCCTTTCGAGAAGACAGATCCCCGAACCACCAAGCATTCCGTCAACCAAGCCGGATATATATCCTGACTATAATACACAGAGATGCTGGAACAACATCCGTGTTCTCCGAGTTCAGCTAATGAAAATTATACGCGAGCAATGTGCTCGGGTGTTGGGACATTCGGCCAATGATACCTGGGCCATGGCCGAACTTCATGAGTCTAACCGCCGAGTGCATTCCCTTGCTACAGATATATGCCTCTCCATACCTGGTACGGGGGCTAACAGCAGGCTTCCTTATGAGGTCTCCAATATCCAATCAGCAACTCTCTTGTTTCATCTATATGTGGCCAAAGAGCTTCTTCCAAATCCAGCTCAATTGAGGCTATCTATTCATGAGCGATTACAATTCGTGAAAGAGAAGCAGGCTCCTTCACAGCATAAGACACTGAAACACTTGCTACATGATGGTTATCAAAAGCCGCGAAACACATGGGAGATGTGGCTTTCAATCGGGAGAGAGGATTTTTCTATTTGATTCTGGGGTAATTCCACCTGCATCTGCCCAGCCTAGTACTCATTTAACTTCCTGGCCGCAGGCGGAAACCTCTCCCCTGCGACTGGATATTTCTTTAAAAGGACAGCAATCTTTGCAAGGTCATCATCAGTCAAGTCGACATCCTTCACGTTCTCAATAACCCTGGATTCAGATCTCGCACCCGCAACCGGGACAAAAAGCGGCATTCCAGGCATTCTGCTCTGCACTTTAACCCACGACAAAGCCAACTGAGCCGGAGTGCACCCCTTCGCAACCGCAATCTTCTCCAGCTCATCAACAAGCAGACGGTTCTTCGCAAGATTGTCGGATTGAAATCGAGGAAAGGACCGATGATGATCGTGTGCCGGCAAGTCGTCAGGGCTTTTGATCGTGCCAGTCAACATCCCCGCTCCCAGTGGTGTGTGCGCTATGATGGGGATACCAAGCTCCGCGCACGTCTCTGCGACCCCATTACGGAAAACATCCGTAGCCCATAAGCTCACCTCCGCCTCCAGCATATCAATCTTCGCAACGCTCGCCGCACGGCGAATAGTCTCAGCTTTCACTTCCGATAGTTGAATACCTCCAATCTTACCCTCCTCCTTCAACTCAGCTAGTGCCTTAATGCTCTCTTCAACTGGAACATTGGGATCAACTCTCGCACAGCCGAAAATGTCGATTTTCTTCTTGCCGTCCAGGACCTTGAGAGCGTTGTCCACGAAGCCGCGAAGTCCGGCGGGTGAGCAGTCCATAGCGAAGGTCTTCATGCTCGCAACGCCGGACTTTATCGAAAGGACTACCTTGTCTGCATCTTCAGGAAAAGCTGTGAAGTAGCGATTCATGAGGTGCAATGAGTTGTTTTCGGGTGTCCCATAGAAGTCTGCGCCATTCCATACGTTGACGCCGGCTGCCAGCGCTGCCTTGAGGACCTTGAATGCTTGTTCATCCGGTGTCACGTCATTTGCCAGGGTGAAACCTGCGATATGCTTTTATCAATATATAAGCTTTTCCAATGATAGCTCAAGTAATAGACAAGCCCCTGGACCACAATCACGAAAAAGCAAAGAGGGAAGGGAACGAGGGAAGGGAACGAGGGAGAACTCACGCATAAGCCCCAACCCATTCTGGGTGATTTCCTTTCCAGCGAGGAATGACATCGCTAGTAACTAGTAATAGAGAGGAATTTGCAGCCAGATGTATCAACAAGAAGAGGAATAAGTATGCCTGACTATTGAAGGCAAGGCAAAGCAGGTTGACGGGTGTATAGTATAGTATAGTATAGTATAGTATAGTATCCGGAAAAGGGAAACTCGCAGCCAAACTACTCTCCCTGATGCTATTGTAACAACCGAACCCCTCATTATTGCAGAATCACCACCCTTTATATACCCCTGATTCTTAGCCATCAGGTTCTTCGACGTCCGGAGATAATTTGTCTGAAGTCCCTCCATCCCCGGCGTTTACGAGTAAAGTCCGGGAGTATGCCGTCATGACCAGCTGGTTACCCAATTAGGTTTAGTGGATTAGAGGGCCGTCCTTGAAGAGGGCCGTCTTATTCATATGCAGATGCGGAGAGAATTCGGTCCAAATCAATTCAAAAAATAATCTAGGTGCTTAATTTGCACACTATTATTATGGTGTCAATGGTCTGGTGTTAATTGTGGACTGGGTGCTTGGGTTGGTCCTGAGTTCAACTAGTATGTTGTTACCGCTCCTTGGTTATATATTTAGTTGTGTTCATCTGCTCACACTGTGCCACACAACGCATCAGATGCTTTTCTGTAGAAGATGAAGAATTTACATCTAACTTACACTGCCAGAAAGGACTAGATCCAAGCATATGCCCAATCGATGTCAAGTCAGATGAAGGGTACTAGGTCGCGAGCATTCGTAAAAGTGACACGTTGAAGCCAAAAATGTTCTAATGTAACTATGCAAGGTATATGTATATCACCTGCGTCTTCCAGCACCCCCAACATTGTCACCCCGATCAGCAATGCTAACAACCTCTCCAATACCAGCTTCTTCCTGCTCATCCTCCAAAGCCATGACCTCTTCTCTGCTATCCCACCACTTCTCTTCTGCCATGTTGAATGCATCCTTTCGTAGCTCCTTGATGTTCTTTTCCGTGGCGATGCCCTTCTCTTTCAATGTCTCCAACAGGATACGCTGCCAGTCCTCGCCTGTGCGGCTGAAGTAGTCACGCAAACTTTCAAACGGACGAGGCAGAGGCCTGCTATCCTGTACAGAGGGCTCTCCCTCTTGCTCCTCCACTTCCAGATTCTCCATATCCTGGGTGACAGAAGGCACGGTTACTTCCGTGGGGGCGGGAGAACCAGTGTCCAGCGACATCGCGTCCTCCTCTTCCTCCTCCTCTTCGAGATCCTCCTCTTCATCGTCATCCATCTCCTCGTCGCTGTCTGCTTCGTTGAGAAGGTGCCAGTTATCGGGCTCGTTGTAGAAGATCTCCTTGACGCCATCGAGCTTGACGAGATCGATTGAATACATGTCGTTGAAAGTGAATTCCCGATCTCCCTTCTCGAAAGTGCCGCCGAAAATGTACAGGGTATCATCCTGAACGGCCAATTGCGCGTTGAATCGCTGGTGAGGCATCTCGAAGCGCACGATCGCAGGCTTCGCTGGCTCCTCAGGCTCTTCTTGCTTGGGTGTCTCCGGCTGCAGGTCATCGTCCTCCTCGCTGCGAATACCCTTCTTAGCCTCAAGAGCCTTCAAATTCTGCAGAAGCTCCTCCTCGTCAGCCTTGCTGCGGTCCTTAGACTTCATCTGGTTAGCGACCTGCTTCTTGCCTGGCGCTCTGGGCCGGCGGAGCGTCAAGGGGAAGAAACGGTTCCGGTCGGTGTTCCAGGCGAACATGGTATCAAAGAATTCACTGTCAATGCCTTCCTCACTCAATTCAACATCGTGGACACCACCGAACATGATGCCACGTCCCTTGTGGTATGCCATCGTGGCACCGGCACGTGGAGGGTTGGGAGAGTTGGCGGGCTTCTTCCGGCGCTCCCAGCGGACGGTGGGCGCAGCATTGGCAGGAGCTTCAGGACCCGGGGGAGTAACCCGGAGGAACCAGGTGTCCTGGTGCACCATGGGCTTCATGGTCATGCGCTGAGGGCCACCCTTGACGGGCTTGCCGTTGATTCCAGTGGCCGCTTTCACACGGGAGTATCCACCGTAGAGAACGGCACCGCTTTCGTGCGGCAGGAAGGAGAAAGAAGACCGGGGGTCGGGCTTCTGGGATGCGGTTGGAAGCGTTGGGTTAAACCAAGTGTACTTGGAACAGTCGTAGATCCACAGGTCTTGGAGATACTTGGTTTGTTGCGAGGTGTCCTGGAATCCACCAAAGAGGATAATGTAGTTCTGCCTTTTGGTTAGTTTCAATTTAGGTTTCCTGGGCAGGATAAAGTACAGACCTTGTAGTAAGTCATTCTGTGACCACTTCTGGCCGGGGGACCCTTGCCCTTGGAGTCCAGACGGGTCCATTCCCTTGTCGAGGGATCAAGGTGCCAGAAGTCGTTGTAGTGGTAGAAGGTGCCCTGCTTGGGGGAAGAGAACTCTCCTGTTCTGAACATCAGTACTCTGGAAAATATTATAGGCTTAGTCTGAGCCATATACTCACCACCGAACAGATAGACACCTCCTGTATTGCCACCACGGCACCACGCATGTCCACTGCGAGGGAGCGGACTATTAGGACTGGTGACTTCTCTCCACTCCGCGCGGTCGATGTTGTAGACGAAGAGGTTATTGAAGAAAGTGGCAAGATTTCCATCGAAGTACTCTCCACCAAAGACCAGCAGTTCATTGCGATTGGAAGGAGAAGCCAGAACAGTTGCAGATGACCGAGGTGTCGGCGGCCCTCCCACAACCTCAGTGACCTTCATGAACTTGGCTTGTTCCTCAGCATATTGCGCAAGGATGGCGTCCAAGTCGGCATCTTCGACATCACTATCGGCGTCCTTGTTCTTGCCCTTGCCCTTCTTCTCCTTTTGAGCAGCCTTCTTGTTCTGTTTTGCTGCTACACGCTCCTTGTGCTCGGCGGACTTCTTGTTCTTCTTGCCCATGGTGGACGAGCTTGAGAGATACTGGGGTGGACTTTTGGGCTCTTTTGCGGTTTCTATGAGACCGAGGGTATGATGTGGAGCTTGGATGCTCTTTCCAATTATCGCCCTCTTATCGGTGGAGTTATTGAGTTGATATTCTATTTACTACAGATTCTCTCCATTTAGCGCGGGGTTTTTCTGGGCCCAGAAAAAAAATGTCGGCATGAAGCCCCTCTTATTTTACCGTGTAAAACCGTTACCATAGTCTCTGAGTGACCAAACTCTCATGTAAAATTGGGAGTACAGGAGGCCAAATAAAGCACATACAAATATAGCATATATGTAGTGAGTGTTTATTGAACCAGATTATTGACTCCAGCATAACCTGTATGTGACATACCTATATGCTATGGTGTTATGCGATGTTGATGTTTCCATGGTCTGGTAATGAAACATATTATTAAAGAAGATCATTCAGCATCATAATTCAGACTGACAACAGCCAATGCTGTATATTGTCCTCTGATACTATGCGGCTATTGCAATATCGCAGCAATTTGTAAAATATCTCGTCGCATACCATTGCCTTGACACCAACGATGCTACTCAACTTCGAAGAGGGTAAGTAATACCGGGTATCATAATTGGGAGTGGCATGGATTATCTATGTCCTCACCGCCCACGTGATGACGCGCCGGAACGCGTCTAGACAAGGCCGTGGATTCGCCGAACTGAAAGCAATTGGATAGACTAGTAGTTGCTCGGCAGCTAGTCTAAACGCCCTTTGTGATTGTTATGTTGCGACTCGTCAATGGAAATCATGCTCACAAGCATACGGCCTTATGACTAAAAACAATTTAGCAGCCCACCTCAAATGGCTGTTGCAGCAGGGCCCTGCGCTATACCCCTCCTTATCTCCGTCCGCGCACGAGTATCACAATA